AAAATCATTTGGATTATCACTTATTGGTGAGATTGGACGCGAATTCAATACAGCCTCAATTCTTGTGAGCACCGTTGAGAACTCTGCAAATGTAAGTTTGACGTCTCCAATGATTCGCGAAAGCTGAAACTTCATCGAATTCACAGCTGCTTCTGCCAACCCATTAAAATGAGGTGTGCTCGGGGGACTGAAATGCCTCTGGATTTCCTTAGTTGTCAAATATGGTAATATTTCCTTGGATTCGATGCCACTAAATTCGTTTTGAGAACGTTGAATTTTGGTATTGGCACCAATAAAATTGGTACCACAATCGATGTAAACATCGTGACACATTCCGTACGAACGCATGCAAGAATGTTTGCGCCGACAAATCCCCTGCGGCTTCTAGGTGGACGGCGTTTGTAACCATGCAAGTATAAACCCAGACATACCGTTTATAGGTGGACCGGCCCCTACTCTTTGACGTACGAATAAGAAAGGGACCGGCATAGTCCACTGCGGTGGCCGCAAAAGGTCTGATGGAATTCTTAACTTGAGGCGAAGGTAAATCACCCATTAATTATTTAGGCAAAACTGGCTTGTGCCTAAAACACACCACGCATTCGTTGATGATATTATGTGCAAACTTGCGAACATTTAATATCTAATAACATCTACGGGTTTGGCTTACGGTAAGTTGTGGACCCCCGTGCAAAGTGAGTTGATGGTAATAATCGATAACACAAGGGAACAGTGATTTTGTTGCATCAAATGTTAAAGCTTTGATAGACTTTTTTATGCTGATAACGAATCTGTAAGTATAAAGTCTCCATCAGCTCTAGATTTGGAGAAAAACGAGGTCAAAGTGGTTAAAATTCGCGGTTTTTGCAATATTTTAGAAGGTCTAGCAAAAAAACAAAATGTGATAGAATCTTCCACTTAGGCTTGAAATAAAGTCACGACTCTCGGCTACCATCCCTGCTCTGTAACCTGATGGTCACTTATAGTCATTTATTTATTTATTGTGCTATGGAAAGAAAAAAAATTGCCAAAATGAGTTTTTGCTGTTCAATAAATGACTGTAAGACACCTTAGGGTCAAGATGCAGGGATGGTATTTTCAGGAACTGTAGTCGAAGGATCAAGCCTTAATTTGAGCCTAAGTGTAGGGCTCTATCACCGTTTGTTTAATTTCGGTGGGTACTCAAACTTCGCATAAAATCAGGTTTTGTTGTTCAATAAATGACTATAAGTGACCATCAAGTAAAGGTGCAAGGATGCTATTTTCAGGGATAGCAGTCGAGACTTCTAGCTTTAATTTAAGCCTAATATCACCTTTTGTTTCTTTGCTAGAGCTTCCAAAATATTGCAAAAAACGCGATTTTTTGACACTTTGACCCCGTTTTTCTCCAAATCTAGAGCTGTTGGAGAAATTATACTAACGAAGTGGTAATCAGTATAAAAAAGTCTATCAAAAACAGGTTTAACATTTGATGCAACAACATTTTTTTAATTTTTGTTCCCTTGTGTAATTAAACGAGCGAGGTAATGCTTGGCTGGTACTGGAATTTTTCGCTGTCCGGTAAAAATGCGTTGCGAAGCCGCCCATTTAGTCGGAGAATTCCGCTAATGTCAATAAAATAATTAAGACGAATATGCGGACTTTTCCTTGACATGCTCTTTTTTGCTGTAACGCCTTTAATTCGCCGAAAAAATGTTCATTCTGTACTCAGCGTATCCAGCGTTTTCAACTTCTTCCGCGGTGAGGGGTTTAATATTATGTTGTTGTTGTTGTTGTAGCGGCTACAACAACCCCGCCCAGATCGGTTGGTATCTCAGTCGTTGTCGTCAAGTTCCACTAACGGCAACCCTAGGAAGCGTGCAGCTTCTGTGGGATCTGTCCACAGGGACAGGGCCGTTAGGGTTGTCGGGTTTTCCGGGCATGCGAAGATGTGGTTCGAGTCATGTGGGGTCTCTCCGCATGCCGGACATTCGTTCGGCACATCCTCATTCAGCCTACTCAAGTAGGAGTTTAACCTGCTGCAGTAGCCGGAGCGAAGTTGAGCAAGTGTAGTGCGTGTCTCCCGAGGCAGATGAAGCTCTCGTCAATGTCCGGGGGTGGTATGCCTAGAACGGCATTCATAGGTCTAGAGTCTACATAACTCGAGACTGAGTCCCTGTGAATGCCGTTCAGGGCCTGTCTGTACGCTGTCGGGTCCAGAGGTTGCTTAATGAACCTCTGGACTTCGTCCGTCAGTTCATATAGATGCCTCCTGACGTGCCTAGGCGAGGGCTCCTCTGCAAGCAGCTGTCTGTTTGGGTGGCCACTTCTGTGGCTCCCGATCAGGAACTGCTTGCAGAGCATTATGTTGTGCTACTTAACTGGGAGCATTTGGGCCTCGCCGTGCAAGTGATGTTCTGGCGACATCAGGAGGCATCCCGTCGCTGTCCTAAGTGCCGTATTTTGTACCGTCTGTAGCTTCGTCCACTGCGT